GGGGTGGGGGAAGGAGGGGAGCTATAATCATTAGTGCCTTTTTTATTATTTCTACAATTAGTGGCTAGATTCTTCGCAGAAAAAGCTGCTTGAATGTTTTGCAGATGTTCCACTTAGACCAAAACTGACCCTCTATTTCCTCCCATATAAGTGTCTCAAACTCTCCCATCAGTGCATTTATGCCAGGGGGGAGGGGGAGAAGAGGGAAATCTCTGGGTTTGTAAGGACTAAAATAACATATATAAAATATACTCACACACATATACCTTCACATGCGTATCATATGAAAATCTTCAATGACGTAAGTACCTTCTCAAGGTATATAGCCCTATTATATATTATACAACTTTGTTACATTTCGATTGCGCCTTCCAAACGTAAAAGTTTAGTCTCCCCCACCCTCCAGCTGCAGGTGCTGGGCCTTAGCCGGTCTTCATATGAAGTGTGGCTTAGAAGAAAAACAAGATTGTGCACTAAAGTCGATAAAACTGTCTTCTCCCGCTAGAAACTGTGCTGCAGAGCGGACATTGCTAGCTGTTCGCTGGCGCTTTTGCGGCCTACCATTGCTCTGATTAGAGGGTCTTTTCGTCTGGCTAAAGACGCCAAATCTCTAATCTTTGCAACTCCTTGCAACCCTGTTGGATGGAACTATGTGTGGGGGACGAGAGGGTGGGCTGTGTGTGTGTGTGTGTGTGCAGGAGAGAGGAGGGGAGGCTGCCTTGTGGATGTAGAGGAGAGAGGTTAAAGAAATGGCCCCTTTCTGAGTGACAGGGCCCTTTTTCAAAGGCCAAACAGAAAATTGCTCCTAATATGAATAGGAGAATTTTCAAGGTTTCACAGCTTTTCTCTTTATTTTTATTTGTATTTTGCTATGAATCTGGGCGTGCTGCTAAATAGAAAAGTGTGCAGTTGCTTCAATAGGGAAAAAAAAAAGGACCCTCCATTAACTTTTTTTTAAAGATCCTGCCTGGATTGGTAAAATCATTAAAATATGTTAAGTGACATGAAGTTTGGATTTATGTGGATGCACCGGACAGAAAGTGGACAAAGCCAGCAGGGGCAGTCACGCTTTAAGACAGGGGGTCTTTATTTAAAGATGGTGTATTTATGGGGAAAGAAAGGGAATATCTTACAAAGCTCTCACTATACCCCTGATAACAAAACCTGTCACATCTTCACTTCTTACTAGAAAAGAGAGAGTGTCCTCATTTGAACATCTCGAAAGTGATTATTAGATGCCTCTGTGAGAAATCAGTTTGGGAGAGTAAGCCCAGAGCTCAAAAAAAGATTTGCTCACACTGCATGCATTTCTAATTCCCCCCTTATAAATACTTTCATAATATCCCTAAAATCGCGCTTGCCAGAAAGGACCGTTCGTTAGGAAGCATAACGCCTGCTTAATAAAATTTGCACTTAAAAAAATCAGGACCACTGCTTTTATTATTATTATTTTGCCTCCTTTTCCTCCCCCCGATAAGTTGTGAGAACTCTTTTTTTTGGGGGGGGAGGGGAGAAGAGTGTGAAATGAAGAACACAAAGACAGTATATCGGTGAAAAGAAGAAAGTGGCCCTTTAATGAGAACTAAAGAAAACCAAAACGTAGATGAAGTGTACCGTAAAAGCTGCTTCAAAGTACATCCTAATTCCCTTGAGTTCAGCCATCACATAGATTTGGTAATTGGGAGTTTACTGCGCAGAGGTAAGGCAGCATGGTATGGATAACCCTATATTTTTTCCATTCAATAATTATATAGATATGTTTCCAGACAGTCTTCCCAAAGAGCCATCAGATATTAGAGACCATTTCTTCACGTGAACTGAAGGGAGATCCTGTCACCGCAGAAAAGTACCTGCATGTTCACAGTTAAAATGATTTTTCCCTCTTTATAATTATGATCATGGCTCCAGTTGTGTTTGAGCATGTCTGCGTATGCAATAACATCATCAAATATATGCACATGCCTTTAATGGTATTTGCTTCCATGTATGAGTTTCATTTTATATTTATTTTCAGACCTTAGCGGTTCTCTATTATCAAAAGTCCCCACAAGTAACAGACCAATAAATCCAAACAAAAATAAGACAGATTTCCTCATCGATGTGTAATAAAGTTAAAGGACATTGTTTTGTCAGACAAGCGCTAAGTAGAAAATAAATCTTTGGGTCTGGGGAAACAAAACGGAGTGCTGTTGGCGTGTGTGTAAATTTACTTTTAAAAGCAATAAATCAATGTTAAATTAAACAGCTGGGTAGCCTATCGTGCAGAAGGTCACATGTTTAAGAAAATATTGGCGGTGAAATGTGCTATTTAAGAAGATACCAAGGAAGTTAAACCTTTATTTCAATGCAGCCTCTAGTTTCTCTGCATATGGGTTGCATCTGCACTTCAGGGGCTTCTATGAACTTGAGAGAGCGAGAGAGAGAGAGATTCGCACCCAATGGCTAACTTCAGATCTTTCCCCCACATGTTACACACACACTTTATCGTCCAAGAGGCATTGCACATTCTTCTTTCAGCTACTGCGTTCAGGTTAAATATTGTAGCCTGTCGAAATAGTTTAATACTGTTCTTATCTAAATGCTAATTTCATCATTTCTGCAATCATGACACTCATACATTCCACGTCCATTAGCTGGACATAGAA